GATTTAGCTCAGTGGTTTCACTGCCTGCTGTGCAAGCACAAGGACCCGAGTTCGATCCCCAGTACCAAAAAAAAAAAAACTAGGATTAGAGGTCCCATTTGACCCAGATATCCCTCTGCTGGGTATCTTTCCAAAAGAATTAAAAGAATCATATCACAGCGATATATGTGCACTCATGTTTATAGCAGCACAGTTTGTAATAGCTAAAGCTAGGAAGCAGCCCAAATGCCCATCAACTGGAGACTGGATAAAGATGAGGTTTTTTTTATAAAATGGAGTACTACTCAGCCATAAAGAATGAGAAACTAGAGACATTTATACCTAAGTGGATGCATATTGAGGCCATACTCTTAAGTGAAATAAATAGGACACACGTGTAAATACTGAATAGTTTCTCTGGTGTGAAAAACTAAAAGTGTAAATAAGGACTAAAAGGTATAATAGATAATGTGAAATAGGAAGCAAAGTTCTAAAGGAATTGGGGAAGTGGGAAGTGTAGGAGAAAGGAAAAAAGGGAAAAGAAAAAAATATGAGAAAAGGAAAAAATGGAAACAAAGTCTCTGTAGATAGGGAGGGGTGGAGGAGGTGAAGGGCAGGGAAATGGGGAAAAAAAAAAGAACCAAGATCCATCATGTAAAGGTACAAGATCCTAACAATGAATGTAACTGTATTTTATTTTTTTATTTTTGTTTTGTTTTTTGGTACTGGGGATCAAACTCGGGACCTTGCGCTTGCAAGGCAGGCAGCAGAACCACTGAGCTAAATCCCCGGCCCTGTAACTGTACTTTATACCTAAAATGTACCAATAAACTTAATGAAAAATAACAAAACAAAAAACTCTCTGAAACAGGAGCCAAAAGAACCCCTCCCTCGCATAAGCCGGTAGAAAGCTGCCTCGCACAACCCACCTACCTGCTCTGCATGCAGCTCTGCAAGGTGGCAGAGCGCAACTGCGAAGGACTCGGTGTTGTTTTGCTGCACACCCGAGTTCACCGACTCCAGGCTGTTCATGCTCAGCAACATCTGGGCTTGCTGAAGGGCCATGGTGCTGGGTGAGGAGAGGAACAGGTTTCCCTTCAGCCAGCAGGCTTGGGCTGCCCTGCGCCCGTCGGCTCTTAGTGGAATCGCAGGGACGTCAGCCCCTCTAGAGGCTCTGGACCAGGGAAGGTGTGATCTCCCAAGGCCAACTCTGCTGCCCTCAGGACAAGGACAGCAGGGAAGTGCCCTGCACATGCACAGCAGGAGTTTCAGGCTCTCAGCTCACTGGCCCACCCGCCCACCCCTTCCCGCCCTCGCTGTTCCTCGAGGTCACAGGATGTTAATTAGGTTTCACGGGTATTCAGACCCGATGCCATCCTGGCACCAGCCGCTCTGGCAATGCAAGCAGTGGCCAGTGTCGGCAGCTGTCTCAGAGCACAACGTGCCAAAAAATTATCTGAAATACAAAAACAAGACTGGTAAAAGAGGCACTTCCTGTCACTGGAATTCCTAGAAACAGCAGAGTGCCTAATGAGGGCCGAGGCAGCCACAGGGCTTCAAGAGTACAATCTGGCTCAGAAGTTTACTTCCAAGCTAAAGGTAGCAGGAAAGCAACTGTCTCCACATGGCGGCCATGGGAGGGAAGGGACACTGGGCGTGGGTGTGCCAGTCTTGCAGCGTGCAGGCAGGAGAGAGGTCCTTGTTGTGAGGACCCAGGTCTGAGTCACAGGTCAGCTACACTGGTAACTTGGGCAGATCACCCAGAAAGGTCACCAACCAGTTCATCAAAGAGCAGGCAGAGGAGGAGCAGATGCCTGTGCCAACTACAAGATGCTTCTAGACAGGAAAGCACCACCCTAGTGCCCCTCGTGCTCATGACTTCACAGGGCTCCTCGCTCCTCCAGGCTGTGTGAGGACCCACCTTCGGCCGTACAGCCTCCAGATGGCCGTTTTCTGTGCAATGCTGATGTCGATGAGTTCCGACAGGCTGTGTTTCCAGTGCAGGAGGTCAGAGTCCTTCAAGGCGTCCATCAGTTTGTTGGCCGTCTTCCCAGCAAAAGCTCTCTGTTGAACAAGGGACTGTATTCCCAGGGAGGCGAGGTACTAAGGGGACAGATATACCCACGACCCAAGATAGAGATTACACGACAGAATTTGCTTTGCTCGTCAGAAATGTGGTGGTTTTCACATTTCAGCACATGCACAGTGACAGCTCTACTTACAAGCAAAGTACCTACAACTGACCCTAACCCTGGTCCATGTGAGATCTCTTCCTGAAAAACTAAGGCCAGGAAGACAGCAGCGGGTACAGGAGTCATGGCTTTGGCTTAGCTGGGCCTGGACTTAACCGTGCCTCTGCTGACTTGGGCCCAGTCACTGAGCTCCTTAGAGAAGCCTCAGCTTCCTCATCAGTAAAATGGGCACCAAACTTATCAGAGAACTGCTACAAGGATTACAGCAAAATAACAGCCCAATCAGTGCTGGGCACATTCAGTAACAGGAGATCAAAACAGGATGTCTATGATGAGCAACAAGTCATCACCGTAGCTTCTGGTATAATCTTCAAGGATAAAAACGACTAAAAACAGGCAGCTGAAGTCCAAGGCAAAAACTGAACCTAAGAAGTATAGTTTATTTCAAAGAACCAATTTGGTTCTACCTGTGCACATCAGTTTCCTTTCCCAGAAGCCAATCACATGGACAATTTACAGATTTAACAAGCATGCGCATTAAATTTGTATAATTACTTGCAATTTTACCAAAGTTTGTTGCAAACTTTTCGGAGACAGAAGGTTTAAACAGTCCCGCTGCCTGTGATCCAGTTTGCAGATTTCTGAGATAGAGTGAGGATCTTCAGGCAACAGGAAGGTAGACTCTGGCAGGCACTACTACTTCCTGTGTGCAGATCACACCCTTTCAGGGCCCTACAGAGTCACTACGGACTTCTCTGCCACTCAAAAGGAGAGCAAATTCCTGGCTTTGTTTATTGTTTAAAACAAGGATCAAGGGCCGGGGATTTAGCTCAGTGGTTCTACAGCCTGCCTCACAAGCACAAGGACCCGAGTTTGATCCCTAGTACCGCAAAAATAAATAAATAAATAAATAAATAAATAAATAAATAAAACAAACAAGGATCAGCAAACTCGTCCTATAAAGGGTCAGAGAGGAAGTCAGGTAGGTTTTGCAGACCACATTTGGTTTCTGTTGCATATTCTTCATCATCTTTGTTCCCTGCCCACAATCGTGCACAAATGTAAAGCCCGTTCTGACCTTAAAGGCCATGCAGAAGCAGGCAGGGTGCTGGAGCTGGCCCGTGGTTTAAATATAAATATAATATAAATATAAATATATAATATAAATATAAATCCCTGGTTTAAAAATAAGCTTTCTGGGGCTGGCTTTCTGGGGCTGGGGGCAGAGCTCCATGGCAGAGCACTTGCCTAGCATTTGTGAGACCCAGGCTTCCATCCCCAGCACTGAAAGAAAACCACAATAAAAAACTTATCTAAAATTTTTCTAAGGGAATATAAGCTAAGTAAATGTTTTTCAATAAACTAATCAAAGGTTTCTTATCCAATTGATAAAGAGAGCTTCCACAGATGTTATTAGGATGTTATTAGGGAACAGCAAGAAACCTACCAAACAGAACTTAGTGGTTTGATTAATAAGTAAGTCACAGGAAGCTGGCAAGAATAAAACCATATGCTGAAATATCCATTCTAACTCCACCACTGCCTCTGACAGAGGTGGTGTGAGAGAGACAAAGGCTCCATGCCACTTATCTAAATGATCGCACAGAAAGATGAGCCTTACCGGTAACCCGAAATGCACTGCCTTCTTCACAGAGTGCTCCAGCAGAACGTAGCTGTCGGATCGCTTCTGCCCCAGCACATAAAGCCAGCTCTGGCGAGAGACAACCAGCAAAATACATCACGACAACGGCAGTGGCCGATGTTCTAGTGAAATATCAATGTGGTCGTCAGAGAGAATTAGAAAGGGACAAAGTAAATCTCTAAAATACCCTCTCGTGAATTACAAATCGAAATGAAACCCATCAACATCTTAAGAGCAGACTGGAACACACGGGCTTCCTCTGATGCAGTGTGTGGCAAGAGTCCCCCCAAAAAGCAGGAAGCCCCTGTATGGCCTTAAGAAACAAGGTTCGGGGTGACTGGCAAGTGTTCTGTTTGTGCTTGGTGACTGTGCTTTCACAGGACAATGTCTCATCTAGTTACTAGGTATAGCAATTATCTGTTTATTTTTTCATATATCTCTTTACTAATGCCAACATTAAATGTGACAATGTTTACTTTCTTCATGGCAAGTTGCATTAATATCTGTGGACAGGAAGTGCTCCCAAAGTAGAGCAGATGCCAAGAACTGAGAAAGGGAAGTAAATACGGATTGGCCTTTCTGAACCCCCATGACCAGCTAAGCAGCACCCCCACCTCCGCTCCACACACAATGACCCGCCTGAGATGGGGGAGCTTCCACAAGCACCCATGAGCCCCGGCATAACCCCAGTCCCGCAGGTGGCCTCACCAAACAGTGCTGCAGACACACGTGGTCATTGGACTCCTGGGCGATCCTAATTGCCTCCTGCAGGGCGAGCTCCGCCTGCTGACTAACGACAGACTAGACTTTAATGTCCCATTGGCAATCACAGACCCGCGCCAGCCTCAGTGACAGAAGTCACGGGAGCAGAGCCCATAGGAGAGTGGGTCTAGGCTCATGGAGGGCTGCAACTATTTCTGGCTCCTTCTCTCCAAGCCCCGGCCCCAGCAGCAGGGAACAGCAACAGGGGGTACACAGGATGGGTCCATCCTAAGGCAGATTTGAACTGAAGGGAACGAAGCACAGGATTTTGTCTTGGCCCCGAAGGAGTTTATTTCAGTTGTGTAGGACTGAGAGGAAGGCCAAGGTGGGGGGCTAATACTTCACTTTGCATCACAACACCTTCTGCATGATTCCAAATTTTTTTTTTTTTTTACCGTGTCCATTTGTTACTTTTATTGTTTTTTTCAAAATTGTTTTGTTTTTTGGTACCAGGGATTGAAATCAGGACCTTGTGCTTGGCAAGGCAGGCGGCGGAATCACTGAGCTAAATCACCAGTCCCAAAATCAGTTTTAAAAAGTATTTTGAGGATTCCCACTTCTGTGACTTTCTTCCTGCTCACGTGTTCCCTGAGTGTGTCCCCCTAACTCCTCAGCCTCCGTGGACAATCACCCAGCTCTTCTTAGCCCAGCTCAGCTTGCACCCTGACGACAGCCTCGCAAGTGCTACCTGCATCCCACTTTGCAAAGCTTCCTTATGTAGTGCCGTGTACTGAGCCTGCCTCAGTTTGCTTTCATCAACTACTTGCACAGCCCCAAGATGCCACAGGCCACATCTTAAACCTGGAGATTCCCAACGACCAGTCAGGGAGCAGAGGGTCACAAACACAGACTCACTGTGGGACTCAAGACAGGACCGAAACTCGGGAGTGTTCCAACTGAAGGAAAAATTCACACGAGGAATTTTCCAATATTAGCAATAGCCTCGCATGAGTAATTCTTTTTTTTTTTTACTTTATTATCTTTACTGCCTCTGTTCTATTTTTCAGTTTTGTTTTGTTTTTTAGTACCAGGGATCGAACTCAGGACCTTGCACTTGTGAGGCAGGCAGCAGAACCACTGAGCTAAATCCCCGGCCCTATATTGATTTTTTCTTTTTTTTGTACCGGAGATCGAACTCAGGTCCTTGCGCTTGCATAGCAGGCGATGAAACCACTGAGCTAAATCCCCGGCTACTGCCTCTGCTCTAATACTCACAGTTTGTTGTTACCACATGAATAATTTTAATTGGGTAGTGCTAATTTTTTCTCAATAATTCTTCAAATAAAGAAACTAGATGCATTTTTACCAATTTTGCATTTCTTATAAATCCCCTTTAATGCTGACAGTAAAACAATGTACTAGAACAGTGGTGGTGAACCGCTGTTTGCATCACTGAAAGCTCCACAATGTTCTCCATCACTGTACTAGAATGTAAGCTACTCAAGCGCAGGAGGCGTACTGTCACACAGGTCCTCAATAATATCACTGAACATCTGTTACCAAATGATGTTCTGCTTCGGTCTTTCCTCCAGGCTGAACATTCTCGCACCTCCTCACTTTACTCAGGTGGCCTGCTTGAGCATCTCGACACTGAGACTGCCCCGCACACAGGCCCCCGCTTGTCTATGCCTCTTTTAGAACCGAAGGATTCCCTGAGTGCTGCATGTCTCAACTCCTGACCAGTGGATCCTGCCACCCTTTAGCAGGCCCCAGAGTCTCTATCAAAGCTGCCTGTAGTAAAGACCAGATCGCTCAACTGATACGAAGTCACTGGGCAGGGGGCAAAAACTCGAATTCAGGGGCCAGGGATTTAGCTCAGTGGTTTCGCTGCCTGCTGCGCAAGCACAAGGACCTGAGTTTGATCCCCAGTACCAAAACAAAAAAAAAACCCTCGCATTTCAGTTCACTCATTTCCTACATTTTACCACTATCCACATTATTTCATCATTCCAAAATAGCCTCCATGTTGTTTTGGGGTTTTTTTGGTACCAGGGGTCAGACTCGGGACCTCTGCAGCACCACTGAGCTAAATCCCCGGCCCCAAGCCTCCATCTTTTGACAGGCTGTCTTTAACTTTATTCACTAAGTAACTGTTCACTAATTTTCCTATTTTTATTCACACACACAGGTACATTTGACTCCCCATGAATCCCAGGCTGGCCTGGAAACTCACAGCAATCCTCCTGCCTCAGCCTCCCAAGTGCTGGGATTACAGGCATATACCACCACACCCAGGTATATCTGAGCACCAAAATGAACCAATGCCACCTCACTGGCGGCCTAAACCCCACTCAGAAACAAACATGACTCTTGGCAAGCATGTGCAGTCTTCCATGCAGGAGAGGGCAACTTCCTTCCGGCTCTTTTTGGCACCAGGGATCAAACTCAGGGCCTCGCACTTGCCAGGCAGGCACTGCACTGATGGGCTACATCCCTGGCTCTTCCTTCTGGCTTTTAAAACCCTAAAAATAGCTTCCGCTGCCCCATTACTACCTCTGAAAAGCCCTTTTGGGAATCTCTGGCCTGATGACCCAATTTCCTTTTCACTGTATGGCTGTGTTGTCCTTAGAAGTAAGGACACTAGAGGCCCAGCAGGAAGGCAACAGGGCTGAATAGTGACACTAGGGGGCAGACAACAGAATTTTCATTAACATTGGTTTCTGTAAGATGTTCACTCAGAGTGAGTGACAAGCCCATGCTGCAGTCTGTTTCTTCTTTTCTTTTCCTTTTTTTTTTTTTGGTACCAGGGATCAAACTCAGGTCCTTGCGCTTTCGAAGCAGGCGGCGGAATCACTGAACTAAATCCCTTTTTTTTTAATCTGTTTTTTTTTTCTTTTTTGAGACAGGGTCTCACTGCATAGTTTGGGCTGGTCTTGAACTCAGCGATCCTCCTGCCTCAGCTTCCCAAGTGCTGGGATTACAGGCGTGCACCACCACACCTGGCTGTTCTTTTTTAGAAAAACATTATTTTTATTTAAAGCACCTTTCAGTTGTGATCTGACAGTTTGTATCCTCAATGTCTGCAGGGACAAAGGAGTGACTTACTAGTGGCCGAAGCGGCAGTGCAAGGCGGCCAGGTTGAGGGCGGCATAGCGCAGGCTCCGGCCGTAGCCCTCCTCACCGTTGCTTTTGCTTTCGGCTCCAGTGAGAATCAGGCGGTCGAAATAATGAAGGAGACTGTGCGTGGAGCTGAAAACATCTTGAACGCGGAGGTTGTTTAAATAGCTGAGGTAATGCTGAAATGAGAAGCAATCAATGTATTTTAAATGTTCCTCTTGCTTTTGTCCAAGACTACTGTGCAGAGCTCTGCTGCCTGCAAATCTAAATAGTCCCCGGGCCGGGCATTTAGCTCAGTGGTTCTGGTGCCTGCTTCACAAGCACAAGGTCCTGAGTTCTATCCCCAGTACCAAAAAAGAAAAAAAACTAAATAGTCCCTGCCTGTGACAAGAATTAAAAAGGCTCAAGAGCTGGGAAGGATGGTGTGTGCCTGTAGCCCTAGCACTTGGGAGGCTGATGCAGGAGGATCGCAGTGAGTTCAAGGCCAGCCTGGGGGGTACAAAGCAAGACCCTGCCCCCCTCCAGAAAAAGAAAAATTCCAAAGGGCTGGGGGTGTAGCTCAGTGGTACAGCACGTGCTTAGCATATATGCATGGCCCTAGGTTCAATCCCCATACTGCAAAAAAACTAAAACAAAAAAATTAAACAGCCATGACAGCTGGCTCTCCATTAGGGTTTGTGGTTTTGTCCTACACAGAGCTGCTAAGCCACTGGTTGTTCTGTTAGGACCCATGAGTGGTACGTAAAGCAGCAGGCCTCGCCTACCTAGTTCAGGTGTTAACAACACTGTAAATTCAAGTATAAACATCTTAAAACCTGAATACATGTACAAATTATAAAATTTACTTTTCTAAATGTTTAAATTAAAAAAGAAACTTTTAGCAGGGCATAGTGGTGCTTACCTCCCAGCACTCTGGGAGGCTGAGGCAGGAGGATCACAAGATCAAGCCCAGATTAAGCAACTCAGAAACTTAGCAAGACCCTGTCAAAAATTCAGCAAGAGGCCTGGGCTCAATCCCCAGTACTACAAAAACAAAAAGAAAACACAGTGAAATGTTTACTAGTTTACCAAATTAATTATTTTCATTTTGTTTTGAATGAGTGAATTAAACTTCTCTCCTAACAGGCAGATCTTACTTACAAGAAAGCATTTTAAAATGCATATATTTCTAGGTAGATAAATGAATAAAGTCTAATGGCAAACCCAGATATTTTCAAGAAAAATTTTCAGAGTAAAACATCCACAAAGAAATTGAATTATTGAAAATTTAAGGCCCGGGGATTTAGCTCAGTGGTTCCGGTGCCTGCCTTGCAAGTGCAAGGTCCCGAATTCGATCCTCGGTACCAAAAAAAAAAAAATTTAAGAATTTTTTTTTAAAAAAGACAAAAGGAGAAAAGAAAAAAGTTCTCATGCCTGAAACCCTTTTCTCTTGCTCAGTCTACTCCACCACCTCCCATCCAAAGCTCAGGAGATCATGGAGCATGAATGACAGAGGTCAGTGTCTAAGAACTTCGCTGTGGCCAGGGAGGGGCTTTGCTTGCTACCCAAGCTGCCCTCGCCCGCCGGGTGGCTTTCAGGGACCCATGCCAATGGCATGGGCCTCCAGGGCTGCGGCTGTTCCACCCCCTGAAGAGCCTGGGCCTCCCTCTCCCACTCAGCAACAAATCGGGAGCAAACCCACCGCTTCAGCAAAGTCAGGGTTAAATTTCAACAAGTTATTAAGCTCTTTCTGCAAGGAGGCTGGAGTGAGGGCTTTTGTCTCATCGTTTTTTAACAGAGAGGCCTGAAATATAGAAACAACAGGTAGAAGTGTCAATAAATATTAGCAAACGTACACCAGCTACTGTGGTATCACCTGATAATTTTCTCTCCTGCGGGAGTGGGGGGTTCACTTCAGGGTGTGCCCGAGCTCAAGGCTCCTCAGTGCCACCACTGCCTGAGGAAGCCACCACAGCCCCTCCCACCAATGCCCCATCCTCCTCCACACAGCCCTCCTCCAGGGCAGCCACCTGGGCCCGTGTCTCTCTCTCCCTCTCTACTTCCTGGTTGGAACCAAGACCACTCTAAGCCATGTTCCCACCATGGGAACACCAGTGGGGCTGCCAACCTTGGACCTGAGGCTCCAGAACCATGAACCAAAACAAACCTCTTTACCTCATAACTAGCCTGCGTCAGGTATTTCATTAAAGTACCACAAAGCTGACTAACACGCGTGTGGAAACTAGTTCTAAATTACATGTTTGTATTTAACTGGGTTATGAACAATTCACTACAATTTTATCTGGACAAGTTTTTGCATAAGTAATAATAATTTCTAATTCTACTTTTGACTCATTATCACCATAGAATATTCCAAAATATGGAAAAGCTGCTGAAGAAAACAAAAAAATGACAATCCTACCACCCAGAAATACTATTAATGCTTTAATGTATGTTATTCTACTCATCTTTTTTTGCATATGTGTGTGATTATATGTGTTGAGGATTTCACACACACACATTTTGGGCGGGGGGGGGGGTACCAGGGATCGAACTTTGGTGCTTGTGCTTGTGCAGCAGGCGACAAAACCACTGAGCTAAATCCCTGGCCCACACACATACATTTTAAACAGAACATGACATACAGTATCACTTCCTGTCCTTTTCACATAATAACATACTGTCAACTTTGTCTCATCATCAAACAGTCTTTGAAACTGATTTGTGAAGAAGTATTAATCTTTTCACTCGCATTTATTACAAATCCTTTTCCCCATTTTATTGTTTGGCTTTTAATTTTGTTACAACGTGTTACAACATGGAGACATTGTAAAATCTTATGCTGAAAAAGCAAATGATCTTCCATGCATTTTCTCCCATAGCTTTATGATTAGAAAGTCTCCACCCAGCTTTCAGTTAAAAGAGTTAATACACAGTTCCTTCTAATTATACCTGTAGGTACTTCATTTAACTCTTTAATCCATCTGTAACACACCAAGGGTGGTGAGAACTCAGCTGACCAGTATTTTTTTCCTCTCAATAAATCAACTGTGTTGGTGGAAAAATTCTAATCACTGTGAAATTCATCCTCACAAGTGATTCCATAAATTTTATCTACACCTAAACATTATAACATTCTGCAGAAAGAAAATGGTTGTAAAAACCATTAGTAAACTAAAAAAAGAAGACAAAATATATTTAAAAAAATCTATGCTGAAAATTATTTTGGACAAAAATGTTCGGCTTATGTTACTAATGAAAATATGTGGCTCATAAGTAGCAACAAACTTCGGTGCACACCTGTAATTCCAGCACTCTGGGAGGCTGAAGCAGAAGGGCAAATTCAAGCCCAGTCTGAACAACTCAGCAACTTAGTGAGATCTTGTCTTGAAATAAAAAATAAAAGGGGCTGGGCTGGAGATTTAGCTCAGTGGTTCCATCACCTGCCTTGCAAGTGCAAGGTCCTGAGTTTGATAAATAAAAGTAAAAGGGGCTGGGGATGTAACTCAGTGTGAAGGCCCTAGGTTCAACTCCCAGTATTCCATTTAAAAAAAAGATCTTATTTCATCTGGATAGAGGATTGGTAGTATACTAATTATAGAATTCAGCTATTAAATATATAGTTATTCACTATAAAATGCTTTCTATTGGGCTGGGAATTTAGCTCAGTGGTTCCGGTGCCTGCCTTGAAAGCACAAGGTCCCAAGTTCAATCCTCGGTACCAAAAAAAAAAAAATTGCTTTCTATCTTTTTTCTTTGTCCATAATAAATAAAATGTGAGAAAAAAAGCAAATCTTCTAAGTCATAAGTTTTTGGACCATAGGTCACATACCATTACTAAATAAATCTGCATTATAATTTTAATAGAAAATCAAAGATGACACAGCTGGACATGGTAGCACACGCCTGTAATTCCAGCACTCAGGAGGCCAAGGCAGGAGGACTGCCACAAGTCTGAGGTCAGCCTGGGCTACACAATGAGTTCAAGGCCAGCCTGAACTACACAGTGAGACCCTGTCTCAAAATAACAGCAGCAACAACAATACCAAATAAGATGACACAAAATAGGAAGCGGCAAACTGCAGTTGATGAAAAAGGATTGAGGAAGGATAATGCAGATTTACTAATAAACCTGCTGTTATGGTTTGGGTCTAGAGGTCCCCCCAAAGCCTCATGTGGTCATAGGCTTGATCAAGAGTGTGTGAAGCTGGAATTGATTCATGATGCAATGGTAGGCTCAAGGCCACTAGGATTAAGGGTATGAGTGCTACCCACCCTAAGTAGTCTGAATAAGATAAAGGGGCAGGGAGATGCTGTTAACTATCTTGTTACCTTTGCTGCCTTGTGTGCGCTGCCATGTTGTTTCTGCTCCATAATGCTTGTTTGCCATCCCAGCCTCAGAGCCAGCTGATTATGGACTGAAACCATAAGCTGTAAGCCAAATAAACCCCTTCCTCTCTAACTTTTGGTGTCTGGTATTTTGGCTCAGCAACAAGAGAAGGGTGAGCCGGGGATTTAACTCAGTGGTGCTGCTGCCTGCCTTGCAAGCGCAAGGTCCCGAGTTCAATCCCCGGTACCGGTACCAAAAAAAAACAAAAACAAAACAAGAGAGGGGTAACTAACACACCTGCTAACACTAACAGGAATAGGCCATGACGCAAAATGTCACAGGATAAAACCTCTGATAAATTACAGAATTAAAATACCTGCTGAGAAAGAAAAAATTCCGCTTGTTTTTGGGACAGTGGTCCACTGCAAGATACTTCTTCTTCTCTGGAAAAATAGTAAGAATTAAACAAGAATGAAATCAGAAGACTTGTAAAAACTTTAATTGAAAGCAGGAACTCAAACAGGCACTTGTACACCCATGTCCACAGCAGCATCACTTGTAATAGCTGAAACATCGAGCAACCCACACATCAGCTATCGGATAAACAAATAAGCAAAATGTGGTAGAGAAACAAAGGAGTATGATTCAGCCTAAAAGGGAGGCAGTTTGGACACACGCTACAATATGGATGAATTCTGAGAACAGTATGCTAAGTGAAATAAACCAACCCAAAAGACAAATACTGTATGATCTACATGAGATACTTAAAACAGTCAAAAGAAGACAGACAATGCCGGAGATTTGGCTCAGCAGTACTGAGCCTGCCTGGCAAGAGCAGGGTCCTGAGTTCGATTCTAGATACAGGGAGGAAGGGAGAAGACAGACAAGCAGGGCACAGCAACGCACTCTTATAATCCCAGCTACTCAGGAGGCCAAGGTAGGAAACTGCAAGTTCGAGGTCAGCCTGGGCATCTTGGTGAGACCCTGTCTCAAAATTAAAAATGAACATGATGGGGACATAGTTCAATGGTAGAGCACCCCTGGGTTCAGTCCCCAGTACTGAAAACAAAACAAACCAACAGAATGACAGGCTGGGGTGTAGCTGAGTGGCAGAGCACTTGCCTCCCATGCACAAGGCCCTGGGTTCAAACCCCAGCACCACCAAGCCGCAGACGGCCTTCAGTTATGAAAAGGATTACTTGTTATGAATCTAATTATCAGCTCAGACAAATGGTTAGACTTTCCAATACATGTAAATCACGGGGACTTAATCTAGGCCCAAGGATGGGCTTCGAAGAGTCCAAGAAGCTTATACACGGCATATATGTTTGCATGGATGCATATTTTACTGATTTTTTTTGGTTTTTTGGGTACTGGGGGTCGAACTCAGGTCCTTGCGCTTGTGCAGCAGGCAGCGAAATCACTGAGCTAAATCCTTGGCCCAATTATTTTGGTTTTTTGAGACAGAGTCTCGCTGTGTAGCCTAGCCTGGCAACAAATCCTTGGTGATTCCTCTGCCTCAGCCTCCTAAGAGCTGGGATTACAGGCATGCATCACCATGCCTGGCATGGATGCACCTTTTAATCAAGAGGTAATGCCTGGCATCCACTAGATTCTCAGGAGAAATCTGAAAGCTCCCCCAAGTGTTTAAATCTACCAAGGTAACTGAAGTTTTAAATACAATATAGCATTAATCAATAAAGGTTTTTGTTTGTTTTAGTACTTGCGATGCATAAGACACCAGTCTAGGCCCTAGTGCAGGGGACAGACACGCTATCTCTGTGAGCTCACTGCAGTCTTGGTGAAGGCTAAGACTGGGCACATGAGGTGACATAAAAGACAAACTTGGCATCTCAACATGAACTCTGTACCTAGAGAGGGAGAGAACTGTCCCCACCCAAAGGGGTGGTCAGGAACTGAGAGTCGGGGAGAATGGAAATGGTTAGGAAGGCGGAGACTGTGCAGGAAAGGAGGGCACAAACGGGACGAGGAGAGGCCTGGCACCTTAGAGGACGGCAGTCAGTACCAGGCTGGCTGAGACAAAGGACCGGGTGGAGAAGTGGAAACAAAGCTCCCCGGGGACAGGACAAAAGCAGGGGAGGGGAGGCATGAGGTCACCATCAGAGTGCAGGGCCCAGCCCTGCCATCCTCTCAGGTCTTGTGCACAGCCCGTACTGTCCCTGACTGTGTTGCTCCCACACGTCACTTCCCTGTCCCAGGCCCCTTCTCAGCGCTGGCTCAGCAGCACCAACGCCCTCCCTGACTGCCCTCCTGCCCAGTGACTCTCAGGGCCTGTGTCCCTGTTACTGCTCTGCTGCACACACACCCTCTGTCTGTCCCACAGAACTCCACGGGGATGGGGACCATGTCCCCGCTGCGGACAGCTCCACACCTAACATCATGCATGACACACAGGACACACTCAATGGGAGACTGGTATTACACCACCGGCAAGTGAGGAAATATGCATGTCTGCATTTGCTGGGAGCCTAGGAGGATGTGGTCCCCAAGGCCAGCTTGCTGCTGTGACCCTCCAGGGCTGGGCTCCCTCGAGAGACACAAATACTATCGTCTAGCAACAGTTAACAAATGCCCACGCCAAACCCCACAGGCTGCCTCTTCTGTAATTGGATTTTTTTTTTTTTTGTACCAGGGATTGAACTCAGGACCTTGCGCTTATGAGGCAGGTGTGGTGGCACTGAGCTAAATCCCTGGCCCTATAATTGGATTCTTTAAAAAACACTCGATAAACATTAATTGCCTAAATATTCTCTCTCTTCTAAATTAGCAGCTGGGTTGTCATTTTCAACTAGGAATAATTTCAATTTTGGGGCCGGGGATTTAGCTCAGTGGTTCTGCCGCCTGCCTTGAAAATGCAAAGACCCGAGTTCAATTCCTAGTACCAAAAAAACCCAAAAGTTAATTTCATTGTAGGATGGGAGGTTTGCAAGCTGTGCTATGCAACATTGCTCAATGTGATTATTTTCTACTTCTTAACTTTAATACAGATGTCTAGGGCAAGAATAATAATTTCCTGGACGAGAACTAGAAATATTGCAATAACCACAAGAAAGGAAAAAGACATGGAAGGAAGAAGGGAGTAAGGACTTTCTCAAGGCAATACAACATTAAGAAAGGCGGCCATGGCCTGGGGGTGGACAGCAGCTGCCTCAAGTGTGAGGCTGAGGGTTTGATCTCCTGCGTGTGCGAGCGCACACACACACACACACACACGCAGAGAAATAAAACTCACAAAAAGGAAAAAACTGAAATTTTCTTTTCAAATGAGTCAAAAAATACATGAAAAACTTTTAAATTCTCTATCAAAGTGATTTCCTTTTGCACAAGAAGTCTAATAACTAGGTTTCAAATACTACATTTCGTTAATTTTCATGACAAAATTCAGTTTACTAAAGCACACGGTTATTTTACTCTTTAGAGTAAATGTGGCCAGGACCCCGAGGTCGCAGCCTTAAACACCAGGCGAGCCGCCACCCAGTGCGCGGCCCATGGGAGCCGACTCTGATGGCCCTGATGGCAGGAGGAGGCGAGCAGCGAGGCCGGCACGAGAAACGCACTCAAACTGGGTCACCTGAGGGCCCCGACGAGGACCTCGTTCCACAGTGGGACAGGGGACACAGAAGCCGCGACAGACGACAAGGGACGCCTTTACCCTCTGCGGAGAAGCCCTCTCCAAGCCTCCAGATGCCCAGAGGGGCCTCCCCGCCTCACTGTCCCCTCCCCCGCCTCCCCGGGCCACTCCTGAGCCCGAGGACGAAGGATCCACTGAGGCAGGGACTCCGCGCCAGCGAGGAAACCCCGAGTCACCTCACGGACACGTCCAGCTCCTCTTTCTCCATGTTTCTCTCCCCGTCCTCCCTGGCGGCCGGCTCCATCTCGGCGTCCCCCGCCTTCTTCTCCCCGCTCTGGAAGTACTGCTGCAGGGCCGTGTACAGCTTGAACACCTGGCTGAAGGACAGCTTGCTGTAGGCCAGGATCATGTGGCGCAGAAACAAACCTACAGACAGGGCCGCAGACCAGAAGGCCTCAGGAGATCGGGCCGCCACCGGGGACGCAGCGCTTCCCCGCTTCGCGGCTTTTCCGCGGCACCCGCACACCCTGCCAGGTCCAGGCCGCCTCCCGGAGAGCCCCTTCCGCTTCCGGTGCAAAGCCGTCCTTCAGGGCTCAGGCCTCCGTCTTCCAGCCCCAGGCCCCATCTCTAGCCCCTGGGGGCCTCCATTTTAATTTCCTCACCGCTGTCCTATGTGAAGTTATCTTATCTACTTTTTACCACCTGGCTCCCCCCAGCCGCACATCATTTCTGGGAGAGGAAAGAAAGCCCGTGTCCACCTCATTCGCCCTGAGCCCGGCACACAGGAGATCAGTACATAACCGCTACTGAATAAGCACACCTACCACAAACAAAGCCAAAGGGAAGAAGCACGGATACAAAGCTACCAGAAAGCACTGGAAAACAGGCGGGCGCGCTGCCACTTTAATACGGTGACAGCGATGTGCTCTTCCTGAGTTTGGGTGGTGATGGTCACTTACAGGTGAGTGACCCAGAGAACGGCGAGGAAGAACTGGGGAGCCAACAAACCCCAGGATGCTGGGGCTCTGACTACTGCAGACGCAATGGAAGGCAGGCAACTTTGCCACACGCTAATTATTCTCCAGTACAGATCCACACAAATGACAAAGGAAAGGCCAGCGTCTCTGAGAAAGCGCCCTGTGCCAAGGGAAACAGTCTCTCTCTTCTTCACCAGTTTCATACCTACTACACTCGTTTTGTGAACCTCTGGTTCAGTTCCAGAGAAAGAATCTGTGAGGTCATCAAAAAATTGTTCCATATCCTTCAGTTCGCCTTCAGCCATCAGTTTGATTCTGAATGAGAAAATTGAGGTGCATATTTTAGCCTCTGAACATCTTCCCACATTTCATATTCCTGAGTTATCTGCAAAAGACCTAGTTAGTTAGTTTGTATTTAAAACTTTTTTGAGACAGGGTCTCCCTATGTAGCCTAGGCTGGCCTTGAACTCACAGTGATCCTCCTGCCTTGGCCTCCCAAGTGCTGGGATTACAAACGTGTGCCACACACCTGGCTCTACAGACCTATTTCAAAGGTGATTCAGAGATGTGTATAAAATGGTGGCACAAAAACTAAACTTCATTATCCAAAGTGTCACCTTCATATTTCTGCAAAACATCTCTATCTTCTTGATCATAAAATTTGTCAAAGTTTACCAGCCCATAAAAATGGGATTATGTACAACAACTCAAAAGGATGAGATCAATCCATATAGAATAATGAGTTGTTTTAGAAAAGGCTAAAAAACAGTAGGCTTAATGTTATCATTTTTTAAAGTCATACATTGGGCACCCAATGTGGTACAGTGACTGCCTCGAGAGCCCGAGGCCCTAGGTTCAATCCTCAGTACCATCAAACCAAATCAAAACAAATTAAGCAAAGGTACCTGGGAAACAATCCTTAGAATAAAAGAAACTTTGTGTGTGTGCGTGTGTGTGTGTGTGTGTGTGTGTGTGTGTGTGTGTGTGTAAAAGAAACTTTTTGTTTATTTGTTTGAGACAGGGTCTCACTATATAGCCCAGGCTGGCCTCAAACTCGAAGCAATCCTCCTGCCTCAGCTTCCTGAGTGCTGGGATCACAGGCATGTGCCCACCACACTCGACTGAAAGATACTTTTTAAAATAATTAATTATCACACACCCTTTTGTAATTTTTGGCTATCTTGACACTTTTTCATATTACCGAACAAAACAAAACGTACCTGATTTGTACTGAATTTGCCAGCTGAGGACAAGAGTCTTCAATCAGCTTGTATAGTTTTGATAGTGTAATATCTGGGCCCTGCATAAAGGAGAAATCAAAAGGTTACAGAGAAAGCCGGAGATTGATAAAGAACTGCTGGCAGCTGAGTGTGATTACATACCTGTAATCCAGCACTCCAGGAGGCTGAAGCAAAAAGATGAAAGTTTGGGGCTGGGGATTTAGCTCAGTGGTTCCATGCTTGCCTTGAAAGCGCAAGGTCCTGAATTCAATCCCCCCCCCAAAAAAGATGAAATTTCCAGCCCAGGCAATCTGACAATTTATTGAGACCCTGTTTCAAAATAAAAAGTAAAAAAAGGGCAGGGCTGTAGCTTGGTGGGAAGGTCCTAGGTTCAATCCTCAGTACCAAAAAAACAAAAAGGAAGTTGTTGCAATCTAGCTAATATTTAAAACTAAAATTGGGCATGGTGGTACACACCTGTAATCCCAGCACTTGGGAGGCTGAGGCAGGAGGATCACCATGAGTTTGAGGCCAGACTGGGCTCCACAGTGAGCTCAAGGCCAGCGGAAAAACTAAACACTATCGCTTCTCTGCCTTTTGGCTAAAATCAAGTGTAAAACCAAACACTAAAACTAAATCTTTTTTGGAGATTAAGTTGATAGGACATATGGCAGCTTCAGATACAGCAAACTCTGTAATCCTACTTCTAAGGCAGTCATATTTAGTATGCATTGAAATGAAGAAACACTGAAAATAATCTGCAAGTCAAAAAGAATTTATAATTATAAAAAAAGAGGCCGGGGATTTAGCTCAGTGGTTTCGCCGCCTGCTGTGCAAGCACAAGGACCCGAGTTCGATCCCTGGTACTGAAAAAAAAAAAAAAAGCATCCATGCATATATACACCTCTAACAATAATATCTAGGAAGATCCATTCAACAAAGAGATGAATAATAATAAGCTTTGAGAAAGAACAGAACTGGAAGGCACACAGAACAATTACTTACTCCATCACTTTTAGTATTACTTGAAGGTTTTTGTTTATACTGGAAAAAAAAACCCAGGTACAGCAGCACATGCCTGTAAGCCTAGTTACTTGGAAGGCTGAGGCAGGAGGATCACAGGTTGGATCATAGCCTGGGCTACTCAGTGACATCCTGTCTTAAAAAAAAAAATAAAAAGGGGTGGGGATGTAGCCAAACACTCCCTGGATTCATAAAAATTTTTTTTTTGAAATTTTCAAAAAGTCAGTAAGTAAAGGAATTGAGACCTGGTTGAATGTTACTAGATGAACTCTACATTCATTTTCTTAACATTACAGTTAGGCAGGGCCAGAGATTTAGCTCAGTGGCACTGTGCCTGCATTGCAAGCACAAGGTCATGAGTTTGATCCCCAGTACCAACCTCCCCCTCACCGCCAAAAAATTATAGTTAGGCAGGTAAAGAATCAAAAAGAATTCCAGACAGCAAAACACACCATGCACCAAGATTTTAGTATTATGATTTTTATCAGAATGGAAGAAAGTATACTTAAAATAATGATAATGCTGTCAGGTCTGGGAGCTAGAAGTTACACAGATGCTGCCCTTTTTATTTAACTGACCAAGACACTAAAGCACTGTATCCTACGTTAACACAATGCCCAAGTCCCCTCCCCTAAAAACACTGGTGACAAATGTTTTTTAAACCCTTTATAAGCAGGCTGGGGATTTAGCTCAGTGGTTTCACCACTTGCTGCGCAAGCGCAAGGACCCGAGTTCGATCCCCGGTACCAAAAAAAAAAAAACTTTATAAGCTATACTGAGTGGCAAAAATGCAACTCTAAGAACTAATTTTAGGGCCAAGGATTTAGCTCAGTGGTTCTACTGCCTGCCGCGCAAGCCCAAGGTCCCGAGTTCGATCCCCGGTACCAAAATGAAAAGAACTAATTTTATTACATTTGCCTCTTAAGATCCCATAATTTGGGGGCTAGGGTTTCAGCTCAAAGCGAGAGTGACTGCCTAGCATGCAACAGTCCCTAGGTCAGTGATAGCGAAACTTTTAGAGCTTTAAATAATAACAAACAGCCCGCTGTGGCACGTATAAGTTGGCCACCATTGCCCTGGGTTTATCCTCAGCACTGTCAAAAAAACAAAAAAGAATTCCCATAATTGGGGGGCCTAAGACCCCAGATGTCTGTTTCTGACCGCTATGTTTCTCAACAATCAACTGTTGATCCTTCAAGGCCCAGCTTAGCATTCCACTTTCTCTACATCCATTGGCCGCTAAGGGGGTAAATCACACTTCATTCACTGAGGGAATAACTACTTAGGCACTCCAACAGGATTTGATGAAGGATGAAAAACAAGACAAGATCCTACTCTTTTCCGGGAAGAGACGGGCATTAATCCCATAATCACAAAAATAACTAGGAAAAAAAACCCGCAGAGCTGAAACAGGAGAAGGCACGTGACCGGTGACAATACATTAAAATGATTAGTGCCGGGGATTTAGCTCAGTGGTGCCGCTGCCTGCCTCTCAAGCGCAAGGACCCGAGTTCCAAAAAAAAAAAAAAAGAATATATTAGTTAACACTGACTGAGCACTAAGTGCTAATAACATATTTTCTACTCTTGTTCCCATCTTACAGGAGAAAGCGGAGACCCGACTAAATCAAGGGATTGTCCAAGTGACAGCTAGTAAGCAATGGAGGAGCTGCGACCCGGGTCTGCAAAACGAAACAAAACATGTACAGCGCCTCACACTAAGTGTCCGATCCATGCTGGCTGCTAGTTTCAGCCGTCATTATTAAGGATTACGGTTCTCAGGTAAGGAGCCTGTATGACTCGTGTCCGTCTCCAACGCCCAGGACCACGTGTACCCCACTGAACAGAAGACAGGCTGAGGGTGTAATTTATTTACCAGACAATCAATACTAGAGCCAGACGCAAACCTGCCCCCCCCCCGAAAGGCATGTAAAGCGCCTGGGCCGTCATAAAGCGCTCAGTAAGGGCACTGGCTGTCTCTGCTTTCCACGTTCATCAACAGTGTCTGATGCAGCCCAAGTCCGGAGGCCCAGGCGCTCAACCGGTTCCCCGAGGGATGGAGCCGGCCGCGCCTCACCTGCAGCAGCGGCAGCAGCAACTGGTTGAGTCTGCGCCGCTCCATGAGGCTGACGGCGCCCTCGCCCGTGCGGCCCATCTCGTTCAGCAGCACCAGTACCGCGATCTTATACGGCGTCACCCAGTCCTTGATGCCGAACACGTTGGCGTGCACCACCCCATTGGTCATCATGGGGTTGAAGTAGAGGCTTTCGTGGACGCTAGCCATGGCGGGCCCCGAGACTCAGCCTCAGAGGCCCGCCAAACGCCGCACCCGCCACGCCACAACTGGACCTACACTTCCGCCTGGCAGCGCGGTATGCCAGAAACAGGGATCTTCGCTCTCACGAGACACTATCAGCCAATCATAGAGCACATGGAAGAGCTACAGCCAATCATAACCTCCAGGATTGCGGAGAAGGGGGGTGGGGTTAAATATGGTGCACCAGAAGGCTGATTCCCTACAGAAACTCTCGCTGAAAGAGAGCAGGTTCCCAGACAAGGTGAACACGGACCCGGTGCAAAGTGGGCGGGAATGCTCGGAGAACTGAAGGGGCCGAGCGCTCATCTATCTGTTCACTGAATTTGAAAAACAGCTCATACTGAATTTTAAATGATTGTGTTTTAAAATAATGAAATTAAATTTGCACCTTTGATTTATGTATCTAATTCCTTCCTATATTCGCGCCGTACGTCATTACGCAAAACAGGAGACCGACACCCCTCCCCGTGGGGCTCTCTGCACCCACCTAACTGTAAGAGCCACAGTCTGGCGTTCAAAGTCCTCCAGAATCGATCCCCAGCCACTATTTTCAATCCGATTTTTCACAATTCCCCTTCTGTTGATCAGGACCTCTCAAGACAATAAGCTTTCTGATTTTTGTTGTTCCAATCCTATTTGTCCAACGACTAATGAATGAATATGTGGTACTAGCGTTATATATTAGGTATTGTAGATAATGCTGTCCAAAAAGAAGCTGTTGGTGGCATGGAATACAAGCTAACTTTCTAATTTTGCGAACTCTCCATTTGATTTATGTATTATTTTGGGTTTTTTGAGGCAGGGTCTCGCTATGCAGTTCAGGCTGACTTGATGTTTTTGTTGGGCAGAGCCCAGGGCCCTTGGTGTTGCCAGAAACAGTCCTTCCTGGGGCAGTTATTGGCAAATGTAAAGATGGCTGGCTAATGTTAGTGGGCAAGGGGTGAGAATAAAACGTGTTTGTGCTGGAAAAGGGACCTTTAATGTTGTGTTGGGACTGGGAAAGAATGGTATTTTTAAGACATGACGACCAGTTAGGTCATTTAGTGATGGATGCATATCTTGCCCAGTGGACAGTTAATATCCTACTACACACTTGAGGCTCACCTGCGATGTTCATGAAATAACCGTGAGTCAAATTCTATGACTCACTACTCTTTACATGTATTTAACTTTTTTGTGGCAAAATACACATAAAGTTTGCCATCTTTTTTTTTTTTTGGTACCGGGAATCGAACTCAGGTCCTTGAACTTGCGCAGCAGGTGGTGAAACCACTGAGCTAAATACCCTGCCCAAAAGTTTGCCATCTTAACCACTTAAAGTGTACAATTCAGTATCCTTTACTGCATTCACAAATGCACAACCTTCAGTACTACCTAGTACAGGAACATTTTCACCATTCCAAAAGGAAACCAAACTCCTCATCCTTCCTCTATCCAGCCCCTGGTGGCAGCAAGCTGCTTTCTACCTCTATGGATCTGCCTACTGAGATGTTTCCTATGAATGGCACCTCACGATACGTTGCCTTTTGGGTCTCTGTCTTCTTTAACTTTTGTGTGGGGAAGGTGATTGAACCCAGGACCTTCACACTGAGCTACACCCCCCAGGCCTTTTGGGGGTTTTTTGTTTGTTTTGTGTGTGTGCGTGTGTGTTTGGTGTTTTTGTGTGTGTGTGTTTTTTGTTTTGTTTTGTTTTTTTGGTACCAGGGATCGAACTCGGGTCCTTACACTTGCACAGCAGGCAGTGAAACCACTGAACTAAATCCCCGACTCGAGTGTGGTTTTTTGAGACAGGGTCTGGCTTTGCAGTTCAGGCTGGCCTTGAACTCACTATGTAGCCCAGGCTGGCCTCCAACTTAAAGTGATCCTCCTGCCTCAGGAGTGTACCACCACACCCAGCTCCCTTTATTTTGACATAGGGTTTTGCTAGGTTTCCCAGGCCGAGCTTGAACTTCCAATCCTCCTGGCTCAGCCTCCCAAGGTGCTGGGATTACAGGCATGGGCCACACCATGCTTGAGTGTGTTCTTTAACATTTTAAGGTTCATGCATTTGTAGCATGAATTAGTGCATCACCCACACACACACTGATTCTGGGCTCATCCTCAGCCCCCACACCCTTGAGAAAGAGTCTCTCTAAGTTGCTGGGCTGGGTCCCAACTTGTGATCTTACTGCCTGAGCCTTGCAGAGTTGTGGAATTATGGGCAGCACCATTTCTTTTATGGGCTAATAGCCCACGGTGTGGATAAACCACACTGTGCTCATACACTGATCAGTTGATGGCCCTTTTGGCTGCTGTGAATAATGACGTCAGGGATGTGCACCTGCACACTTCAGGAATCTTCAGTCTTCTCAACGGGCACAGAAGACAGCAGTGCATAACAAAACATGAGGTTTGTTTGGGGTTTTTTGAAGCAAAACATTTATTGGTGCATTTTAGGCATACATAATGGTAACACTCATCAGAGGGTATTTGCACCTGTACATGATACATCCCGCCTTTTTTCCCATTCCTCCCTCCCCTCCCTATGTACAAAGCTCTGTTTCCATTTTTTTCCATTTTCACCTTTTTCTCTTGTCCCTTCCTTCCTTTCTCCCTTTCTCCTTCCTTGTTCCCCTTCCCATTTGAACATTTTCTTCCCATTTCCCAATATCTATCAACATTTTAGTCCTTACTTCCACTTTCGATTTCTCACACCAGAGAAACAATGTGGTATTTAAACATGTGTGTCTGATTTATTTCACTTAAGAGTGTGGTCTTGAGGTCCATCTATTTAGCTAAAAATGTCTGAAGATCATCATCTCCTTTATCCATTCGTTGGTTGATGGACATTTGGGCTGTTTCCAAGATTTAACTATTGCAAAATAAAACATGATGTATGAGTGGTTGAATTTCAGCAAGAATGGACAGATGGTGCACACCTGTAGTCCTAGCACTTGGGAGGCTGAGGCAGGAGGATCACCATGAGTTTGAGGCCAGCCTGAACTATGTAGCGAGACCCTGTCTCAAAAGAAAAAAAAAAAAAGAAAGGGCAGGCCCCTTTGAGTATCCCTCAGACCACCCTCCCCCTGGCACACAGTGGAGGATCAGTGTATGTTAGAATGTTTAGATTTTCTTGTCTCAATCGCTGCTCGGCCTTTTGGCTAAGATCAAGTGTAGATTTTCTGGTCTCTGTAGATTTGCCTATTGTGGACATTTCACTAAACAGATTCATACAATGTGTGATCTTTTGTGTTTGGATTCTTTCATTTAACATGTTTCTGGGGTTCATCCATGTTGTAGCCTGTGTCAGAACTACATTTTTTTTTCTTTTCCTGTATCAGGGATCAAACTCAGGACCTTGCGCTTTCGAGGCAGTTGCAGCTCCACTGAGCTAAATCCCCAGCCCCTGAACTTCATTTTTCATCTCTAAATAATATTCCATGGTATGGATAGACAACATTTTCTTTACCCATTCATCTGTTAATGTGCATGTGGGTTATTTCCATCTCCTTTGGCTACTACTTTTTTTGCTGTTAGGAACATTCATGTACACTTTTCTTTTTGTGGCACTGGGGATTGAACCCAGGGAGCATTGAGCTCCATCCCCATCCATTCAAGAAAATTTTTTTTAAATTTTGAAACAGGGTCTTGCTAAATTGCCCAGGATGGCCTTGAACTTGTGATCCTCCTGCTTCAGCCTCCCTAGTTGTGATGACAGGCATGCACCACATTATACGTGGTTCATGTACATTTTGTTGTTGTTGTTGTTGTTGTTGTTGTTGTTTTGAAGCAGAGTCTCCCCTTGTAGTTCAGGCTGACCCTGAACTAGTGGTGATCCTCCATCAGTCTCCCAAGTGCTGGGATTATAGGCATGCGCCTCATGTACATATTTTTTAGTGAACACATGTTTTCTTTTCTTTTTTTTGGCAGTGCTGGAAATCAAACCCAGGCCCTTGTGCATGCCAGGCAAGCACTCTACTAATTTAACTCAGTGGCCCCATACCTGCCTGGCAAGCACAAAGCCCTGAGTTCGATTCCCAGTACCAAAAAAAGATTTAAAAAACCATGGACGAACCTCAGCGATCCTATGTTAAATGAAAGATGCCAACACAAAAACCACACCATAGATAATTCCACTGTACAAAATGTCTGCAGCGGGCAAACCCATCAGGACAGAAAGCAGGTGTGTGGCTTCTAAGGAGTGGAAGAAGGAAGAATGGGGAGTGACTACTAATGAGTGCTGGGTTTCCTTTGGGGTTGGTGAAAAAGGCTTTGGAAGTCAGAGGTGATGGCTGCACATTATTGTGAGTGGGACAGAAGCCCCTTGATTGTACCCCTTAAGTGACTAATTTTAGGGACTGGATGTAGGGAGGTCCATGTCAGAGTGTGTCTCGGCAAGCACGAGGCCCTGGGTTCAACACCCAGCCTATTCTGGACACTGAATTTATTTTTTAAAAAGTTATTGGGGCTGGGGATTTAGCTCAGTGCCGGGGATTTAGTTCAGTGGTTCAGCTGCCTGCCTCGCAAGCACAAGGACCAGAGTTCAATCCCCGGTACCAAAAAATTTTAAAAATTTTTAAAAAATTATTTAGGTGCCAGGCATGGTGGTGCACATCTATACTCCTAGTACTTAGGAGGCTGAGGCAGGAGGGTCCATGTAAGTTTGAGCCCAGCCTGGGGTACACTGCGAGACCGACTAAAAAAGCATTGGGGGCGGTGGGGACGGGCCTGGCATAGCTCACCTGAAAGGTGGGGCGCGGGCCCCCAGCTGCCATGTGGGTGCCAGGAAGCAGAAGCAGCTGTCGGTGCGCAGCTCCCGGAGCCCGGGGAAGCCCGAGAGGGCTCTGTGGGAAGGCTCTGGAGAACTGACCAACCCTTCTTCCCGGACGTCAGTAGCGGTGGTCCCGAGGCGTCAGACCTCAAAGACGGATGAGGCTGGACCACATGGCGCGGCTAGTGCGCAGGACGGGTGGTCAACCACACTTCTG